AAATATTTAATTTATAGTCTCCTCCTTTTTTTATACTCTGACCGAGTTACAGGTTTTAAAAACGTTTAAATCACTATTTAGGTATTTAGACTATCGAAGAAGGCAGAACATGGAATAGTTCAACGTTCGTGTGATTTCAGGATTTTTTTTAAAAAAAAACCTCATTAAGGATGAATTCAAGCTCATTAAAAGCTGGAAAGTAGATTGGGTGGAAAATCTGGATGTCATCCTTTCATTTTAAAAACTAGAAATAAAAGAACAACAATGGAACAGAACACAGGATGGAAGGGGAAAAATATTATTTCTTCCAGGGATCAAAGTTGCCCCTAAAAAAAACCCCCAATTTCTCAAGCAAGCAAAATCATGCCTAGGTACATTAAATATATTAAACTAGCTTGAAATAGCCTTATACAGTAGCCTGGGTTTGTACATATTGCAGTAATAATACTAATAATACTAATAATAGAATAACAGAGTTGGAAGTGACCATTGAGATCTTCTAGTCCGACCCCCTACATACCATTTCAGACAATCTCTTTTTGAAAACCTCCAGTGTTGGATCAGCCACAACTTCTGGAGGCAAGCCGTGATGACATGCAGTCCTCGACTTACAACAGTTCTTTTAGTGACCATTTGTAGTTTTGCCTCATTTTATGGCTTCTCTTGCCATGCCTGTTAAGCGAATCCCTGCAATTGTTAAATTAGCCACACGGTTGTTAAATGAAGCTAGGCTTGTCGGACGGTCACAAAAGGGGATCTCATTGTCACTGTGACCATCGTAAATAGGAACCAGCTGTCAAGCATCTGAATGTAAATCACATGATGACGGGGAATGCCGCAATGGTCGTAAGTGTGCAGAAAGGTCCTAAGCCCCTTTTTTTAGTGCCGTTGTAATTTCGACTGGTGACTCAACAAACTGTTGTAAGTTGAGGGGGTTGGACTAGAAGACCTCAGGGTCCCTTCTAACTGAGTGATTTACTAAACTAAGAAGAGCCAGAGCAAAACTGGAACAGAATAGAATAATAATTAGAATAGAATAATAATTAATAGAATAGAATAATAATTAATAGAATAGAATATAGGTGGAATACAATAAGTTAACAGAATAGAATAATAAATAGGATAATTAGAACAGAATAGAATAATAATTAATAGAATAATAATTAATAGAATAATAATTAATAGAATAATAGAATAATTAATAGAATAATAATTAATAGAACATAGGTAGAATACAATAGTTAATAGAATAGAATATGAAATAGAAAATAATTAATACAATAGAATAATAATTAGAATAGAATAATAATAGAATATAAGTAGAACACAATAATAATTAATAGAATATAGAATAATAATAGAATAATTAGACTAGAATAGAATAGTTAATAAAATATAATAAATAGAATAATGAATAGAATAGAATAAGAGTACAATAGAATAGGTAGAATAGAATAGTAGTTAATAGAGTAATAAATAAAATACCGGTAGAATAATAATCGAATAGAATAATTAACAGAAAAGAATAGTAATAGAATAGATAAGAGTACAATAATAGGATAATTAATAGACTAGAAGAATTAACAGAACGGCATAGTAAGAGGAGAGAGTAGCTTTATTGCCACTTGGAATGCCCACGAAGGGGCATCCCTTAAAATGAACTCGGGTGGCGCGCAGCTCCGCTCCTCCTTCCCACGGGCGCGACAGAAAAACACGGCAGAGCCAACCAACCAGCCGGTGCCAAAGCGGACACCGACCGACCTACCCCCAGGTATCATCACCTCTGACCCAGAGAAACCACCGCCCGGCCCAGCTCGCCTGGAGACACGCCTGGAGACACGGAGTTCCTCTGGCTTCCAAGGGACGGAGGGAATCATCGGAGCCCCCTCCCCTGCCCCCCTCCCTCCCCGACCGCCCCCAAGACCGAAAGAAACCCATTGCCGACTTTCTTTTCTTCCTTTTTCCTTTTCTTTCGCAAGAGACATTTTTCCTCTCTTCTTTTCTTTTCTTTCCTTTTCTTTTGCAAGGAGCTTTTTCCTTTTCTTCTTTTTCCTTTTCTTTTGCAAGAGACTTTTTTCCTCTCCTCTTTTCTTCTTTTTCCTTTTTTTCCTCTCTTCTTTTCTTTTCTTTCCTCTTTTTCCCTCTCTTCTTTTCTTTCCTTTTCTTTTGCAAGAGACTTTTTCCCTCTCTTCTTTTCTTCTTTTTCCTTTTTTCCCCTCTCTTCTTTTCTTTTCTTTCCTCTTTTCCCCTCTCTTCTTTCCTTTCCTTTTTCTCTCTCTTCTTTTCCTTCCTT